GTCAATTAATCAAATAATACTTAAAATGGAAAGAAAACTACAATACACCACAAACAAGATAGACGGTAAATAATATGAAAGGAATTGCTGATTTAGGCTCTCAAATTATTTTTTTTAATATACAATTTTGAATAAACATTTGTAGTAATTAACCAGTAAAACTATGAAACACTTTTTTGGTTGTTGGTTTGTTTATTTTTGGTTGGTGGTTGATTTTCAGAGAATAGTATACGTACACTAAATAGCGAATACAGTTTATAGATGTAAACTAATATAAAATTTACAGAGTGTCTGTATTCAACATTTAATACAATAATGCTATATTTTTTTCATTTTTGATAATTGAAAGAACAAATAATGAATTAGACTCTTGAAAATACTATATATGGCTCTTGACAAAATACTGCATTTATACCCTGGATTATACAAGATTATGAAGTGTTCATCCGAGAATATGCTGTGAAGAAGTGGAATAAGGCATGAACAGTCTATATCTCATAAGTTTTATGAGTGTGGACTTTTATTTGACATATGGACGATCTTCCTTAAAATTTAACTTCGTATAACGTTTTTCAGTATTTGTCTATGATTTTAATTTGACAATGTGTATTGAATTATACACGTTTCTTACGGGGAAGTATTAACTTTTTATAGTTTTTTTTTAAAATGTATTTTGTTAGCGTTTATCACTTCAAGTATTTATAAACACAGTGCATGTACATGCAAAATATGTCAGCACTCAGAAAAGGGTAACAGATTGCACCCAAAACATTATTTTATTGTAATTTGCGATTTTAACATACCCCCAAAATAAAAAAAACTAACACTGGAAATTAAAATAAACCTTTAAAAATTAACCCTTTATGACCAAAAGGTATAAATATTCCATCTATTATATCCTGAGGTAGGATAGTCCAAATTGAAATATGTTATGGCATCAGTCAAATTAACAATTTGCGTTTAATGGTATGCAGATATTTAAGTTGCTGTTTCGTAGATGAGTCATCTCATTTTTCAGACTTATTTTGAAATAATTCCAATAATTTCCAAGCATATATAGCCAGACGCGACGGACTTGTTCCTAGTGTCGTGATGTACATAGGAATATGAAAGAATACATTCCGTGGCAGCAGATATATTGTGGTAATCAAAGATATACCTCCTCAATCATGTGTTAATATGTGAAATAATGTTGACTCAATAATTGCAGTTGTGAATGGAATCTTTGAAACCACTCCTCATAAATCGCCTTTACCAGTAGCTACCTATGAGGCCAACTGCTAAGCACATTTCGCTGATTGACCTTTATTATGAAAAAATCCAATGCGATTTTTGAACTGTGTTGTAAAACGAGGCCGAATAGTGGTAATTAGTGTTGGTTGAACACATTCCTGCGACGGAAGGCATTACCAGATTGTCAGTACGTCGTGACGTCCAGAATGGTTTATCTCGCAGGGGAATTAATTTCTATTTAAGATATCAAATGATTTCAATAAATTACTTTTAATGAAAGACCAACGCGTTCATTTCGACAATTTCACAATATACCTAAGTTTGCTTACTCATACTTCCCTTCTGAGAGAATCTGTTAAAGGCATACGGAGCACGCCACATTTGCCAATCCAATTGGAATGCCATTCGCAAACTCTTTCGTGAGACAGCATCGTCGAAAACATTTTACAAGATGTGAAATGCATCTTCAAATTTAGTTTGCTTCTCCGATTAGGAGAGGACAAAAAGTTTGAGGAGCGACGTAAGGTGTGTGGACAAAGAGATTGAATGGCAAGGGTGTTTTTTGACTCCTCCGAGAGGAGTAAAATGATCATTGTACATTGTTTTAATAATATTATTTCATTTGTGATAATATAAAATTTTGAAGAGAATATACTTTATTTCATAGTAATTAGAACAATGGTATTTTATTTACACATTATTTAATCGCATAACATTCATATATTGGCCACCTCTCAAACACATATATTTTTACCGGATCAATTGGTGACTGCCAAAGAAAAGTTTCCAACGTAGATTGGAACACGAGTAAAATACTGTTATTTGATTAGTGAAAGTACTGTATAATTCTTTTAGGTACGAGAATAAAGATAAGCAGTGTCTTTATTTTCGTGTAAAATCAGTTGAAAATATGTGATAGTTGAATTCGAGTATGCTTTATGTTAACGACGAAGGTCAAAGGCCGGAGTCCCCCCGTCGACTTGAAAATGTACGAGCGTAGCGAGACAAATTGGCCGTATCCAAATGGCTATTTTTACGCTAAGCCAACTTAACAACCTCAACACGCACACCTTTTTGAATCATTACACATTGTACACAGAATTCCTCACGTGTTCAATTTATTCATTTTCTTTGCTTGGTTGTCTAAAAAAATCGTGTCTCACACATCAGACCAGGGTGTAAATTGGCCACATTCTGAACAACTCCAGGAAGAGACGAATTGTTAGGATTTCCAAATGAAACAAAGACCATTTTTGCTCACGCTACACAGTTTCTAAGGATGTTCCCGGAATGGTTTGCTTGTAGAATTTCCTGTATTTATATTCGGTAATTTAAACGTGCCAGAACGTTTAAAATCATAAATAAGGTGCATAATTTCGATTAAATATATTCCTTGTACGGATAACTTTATAGTGATATTTTTCAGTGAGAGGTCCTAAGCTCACCAGAAAGTGATGATCCTCGGCACAAATTCCCTCGTCCGTTTTCCTCCTTGGTGCAAGGATTTATTTCTACGTTTACCATATTTTTTTTAGTATTATGCTGATCGATTATAATTGATCCACTTCTGTCAGGTTTCAAGAAACAATTGCGTGTACTTTTAGACCACTGTCAACGTTGAAAGTAATCTCTTAAATGTGTGTGGAAACAATAATTGGAACCATCTACCACGAGCAATTGCTTAACCCTGCTGACTTAACATTCACAATTCCGAAGATTTTGCCATGTCCACCAGTGTTCGAGGTTTTCTCTGTAATGGTGCAAGGGCATCTATTTGTGCTACTTACAAAGGCGAAAAACAAAAATGTGTACTCCTTCCGAAACACCGGATGCCCGGAACGGGATTAAGTCAGGAATTACCTTCTCAGGTAACGCAAAGTGAAAAGGGAAGTGGGGTGAGGGATGCAGTCGGGCAATTTCCCTGGCGTTTACCTAACTCGTCCTTCCCCATAAACCAATCAGAAATCTAGGACTAAACATTGATGCAAAACTTAATTGGAATCAGCAAATAGATGCGAATTCAGAATCAAGCTCATATCATTAATAAACAACCATTAATACATAGATTCAGCCCATTATCACAAAATTCAGCATTACAAAAATACAAAGCAATAATAGTACCTTTGCTACTACTATTCGTCAACCCAATTTGGTTAAATGCAGCAGAAACCAACCAAAGGAAACTGCAAATAGTTCAAAATAAATTTCTCATTATTACTTCAAACACTCCCTGATACATCACCAATAAACAATTACGCAAACAATTTGACCTAGAGGCTACAATTCATCATATCACCTATCTAGCTACCACCTTCTCAAACATATCCAACCGCCCTCCACTATCGGTTCACTGACTCACAAAAAACCCATCACATAGAACCACATTATCATATAAGTTTCTCTTTCAAATTTTTCTCAAGAAATTCTCCGAATAGATCCCAACTAGAGGAGCCCGATGAGGTAACTTCAACCTTTGCATTAGTTTTAAGTTTCAATTTAAGTCAGCTATTAAGCCATCCACACATGCGTAGTTAATTTAAACTGGAAGGCCTGGCGTCGCCTGGTTACGCTGGGATGGGACGGGCTACCTCTGAAGAACAAAGGCCGCGACCCAAGGCGGCTCCAAATTAGGAGGCGAGCACTGCCCGCTGACAGACTTGGCCGAAAATGGCGGCGCGCGCGCTCTGCGCAACTACAAAGCGAAGCGACGCGACGAGGACCTCGCCTCGGAGAGCGGTCATCCCTGCATGATCACATTCACGGACTCGGTACTACACTAGATCAGGGCTGCCCAAGAGGGCGAGCCTGCTCCACTGGCTGTACCTTGGTCTGTCCTGCACGTATCTACGGGAACCGGTGTGGTACGCTGATGTAGTCCCGGAAGAAGGCGATCGGACGCGATCGGCTCTAGTCTGGGGAAGGGCAAGTAGCACGCAAGCAACAGCGGCGGGCCACCGCGGGCATTCTGTTATATCAATGACTCAGTTCAAAATGTAAAGTTAAAGTGGTACTTTTTACGATTTTTGTCTTTTGCACTAAATTCTCTCTTCGACACCTACGCCACTCTTAGACTATGTGGAATTGCATTTAAAAACCTTACATCTGACGTGTGGACCAGAGCTCATCAGCTTCTTCTCTGAGTTACGCGTGGCACACACACACACACACACACACACACACATCTTCTCAAACAATACCGTTAAAATAAATTGTCTCAAGTATTCTCAAAAGAGAATTGACTACTGAAATCTCGACCTCGAATTTTTGAACCGATTCCATTACTTTTCCTTTGTAACATGTAAAACCGTTCAAAAAAACTCATACAGAAAAGATAAGTGAATCTGACATAAATATTTTCTTATTAGATAAATTTCTTCAATTATGAATATTTTGAAAATACTTCGATTGTCGAGGAGTGCGATACATGCAAGAACGTGATTTATTGAGATATTTGAAAAATAGGAGTATTTTTCGGTGAGTATTGTAAAAAGATTGAAACTATCAACACTCTGCAAGCTGACTGCAAATGCACTTTGAAGTAAAAAGGTGTAGGGAATCCAAGAAAACCAAGAAAAAATGCTGTGAAGACGGTAGAAGCTTCAGTCAATGCTTGAAACGAATTATTATGACGTAATGAATAAATTATACAATAGTTCGAGTGTATTGGTATTAATTTTCTATTTTTATTAGTTTATCCGTTTGCTATATATCACACCTTCAATAAATAAAATAGTAAAAAATAGTAATTTATCAATCACTTACCATACTACCAATAATCCAAACTCAGATTTCAGCAACCGGCAGGAACCTGAGAACGTATAAATTATAAATTAGTGTCATCGTAAGTAGTTATAAACATATTTATTTCTCTTCTCTTTAATATATTACAATAATTGTGAATAAAATATCCCTTTATAGTTCAATTCAACGACTTCCCAATTTTTGACATCACAATTTCAATGCTTTCAATTCCTTCCATGTAATGCAATAAAAGTTTACAACAAAAACTAATCATATATACATCAGAATAAGTATGTGGAATGAAACGTAAAATGATATCTACCGAATATAATAATACTACAGCCGATTGTAACTAATACTTCTTTTACTGTATCTTTAAAATACAGACAAGGTAAGAATCCCAGATACATGTTTTATACTACTTCTCTTCCTTTATACCTTCTCCAGAACACTGCCATGTTTACTCTCAAATCATGTGACTATTGGAGAAGAGAATGGCGTTCCAGCAGTTAAACGCAGCATCTCTCAGCAGAAAAGACGTGTTAAAAAAATAGTCGCGTTCAAGAATGAAGTTTACATTTGCTAACGTCAACGTCGTCGTGTCAACAGACCCAACCTTGCAGAGTAAGAGAGCAACATCAGCAGGAAAAGGAAAAGACGAAGAAGAAACTATAAGGAGAAGTACATAGTAATCGTTGCCGTGGGTTGGCTTGCATGAAAGACCAAAAATTGCCGAAACAATCAATTACGTATGCCACTAGTTATATTTCCTGACATCTCCGCTTCAAAAGGAATTGCTACTCAGTTTCCTTTTTCACAAACAATCATGTAGTCTTCCACAGAATGGCCATGACAAAAACATCGACTGCCACGTAGAAAAGCTATTTGTTAGATCGTACCAACAACTAGCGCCGTAACACCGCCCTGCAATGAAAATCAATCATTGCCCTATGAAACCATCTGCACGACAATATACATTGACATTTAATGGTACAATTCTAGTCGTTAAATATTGGGCATTTAGTATTCTTGAAGTTGGAGGCATCTTTTTCAAAATCAATATTGCTAGTCACTTAAAATCCAAAATGAGCCTACTTTCTGCAGGAAGTTTCGTTCGTAAACGAACCCCCGCTTATACAGCTGGTTGTTCACTCCTGATATCATCCAACGTAGCCTCAAGTCATGTGAACAAACGCTATTTGCACTGTGAGCAATATTAATTAATGTTATCAGTTGTATTGCGTAATTATAAAATATGAAATGTGCCTTAAAGGGCACTGTTATTCAGCTTTCGAGCAATTTACCCTTTCCTGAATCTGATCTTTTTGTCCACTTTCCCTTGATCCTCAGTGAGATGGCAGCTTATATTGCTTTTGGACAATAAGGTGTAGTGCTAATGAAGATTTTTGTTATTTCGTCCACAGTACTACCATCAAATAAAATATGTTGCTCGTTTGGCAATGCTTATAGTTTTGATATACAAAACTAATATTTCTTGTTATCATATGATGTCAAAAATGCTCGTTGTCACCATCTGGTGGCGAAAGATCACTACCACCTAACGAGGAAAAATATGCACTACATTTTCGGACTAATTACATGGCAGTAGACGCGCCCGTTATCACTAATTAATCCAATCAAGTACAATAGTTTTTGACCCCCTATGTTACACAGTTCAGACGTTGAGTTTGAACGTAATGTAACAGGCGGGTAAGAGCGTGTATCGACTCAGCGCTTCAGTTCGAAGGGTCGCGGATTCGAGTCCGGCCTTGGGAGTGGTGGTTTGTCCTTTGTTTCTCTTGAATGTGTTCTCGCGGAGGACTTCGCGTTCTGCCGACCCGAGATCAGAGGAGTCCGCAAGTGTGTTGGTGTCTAGTGTATGGTTGAATATGCGTCTCATCGAGACGTAACGGGTAACCGGCTGTCGCCTGGAAAAAAAGCCCTGGGACAGAAATTAAATTTGACTAATTGGTTAAATCACATATTTCCAGTTTACAGGAATGCGCTTCGTGATTTTGAAGCTTCAAACGTGTCTTTAAAGTATCAGTGATTTTCGACATCTAAGAGTAATTAATTTTATGCTGAAAATTAATTTTAATTAATTAGTTGTAACATTAACTTGAATGTAGTTTATTAATATAAAAAAATAATTAGATAAAATTATAAAATTATTATAAAAATGAACGTTTATTGTAAACATTAATTTAGTTTTATGATAAAACATTTTAAAACATTTCAAGTTACAATTTTCAATTGGTGTCGCACCAGGAATGGTGTCACCCAGGCCAGACCACCTCCCTCTTCTCGCCGTTGCCGCTTCCATGTCTATATAGACCTCCTCGTGAAAATTAGCAGCCACGTCGTAAATTCAAGTTGGTCACAACCGCCACTTACCACCTCAGTGATGGACTATGACAGCTGCGTACTCCAACACGTACGGCAATGTGAATAAGAAACGGTAATTTTTTCGCTATTTTTAATATTATTATTCTGCATTATGAATGTCGAAGACACGAACAAGCTAAAGGAACAAAGAAAAAGATGTCTATTGTTTGGTTAGCTACCAAGGAACTTAAGAAAAATATAACTATACATAATATGTTTTGGTATTGACTGAAAAAATGCTAATATTTAATTACTTTAATCCACATATTTTTCATACCGAATTGTAAGACTATATTATTTTATTACATATTGCTCATTTAAGCTAAATTTATATGCACTGCTCATTTTTTACCATTAGTTGAAATCATAAAGCGACGACGAAGAGAGAGGCTTTAGTTTTCATGTATATTTTTTTCAATGGGGCCATTTTTGCTGATCCAGGACCCTATCGTCTTCAATCTCGACAGCAGAATTGTTGTTGCTGCAGACCTTTCATTCCATTCATTGATTAGAATTATAGGAGAACTTAGGTAATTTATCCAACTGTAGGAGAACTTAAGCAATCAGCTAATTTCTCTTTTGCCAGTTTTCTCGAAAACATTAGAGTTACTTTAGTATATGGAATTGAAACGTTTCTGAGGAAAATGGAAACGTTTTCAGACTCTCAACATGGATTTTGAAAATCAAAAGGGTTTATCCATATTTTCCTCACCAATTGAGCAAATGAGATTGCAAAAAGCTTAAGCTTTAGTATACGCACATTTTGTTCAGCCCTTCTTTTGCTACATGTGGTAGGAGTAGAACCTGGAATATGAGTTGCTATCTTGTTAGAAATGCTATAAGATCAAATCTATAATTCATTTATCAATGCAAATAAGTTTTGTGTAATTCTGGAAGGAACATTGCATGTTTTCAAATATCGCTTACCTCGCTTTACTGTTATTTTTATTCATCAAGCAACTACTGTACAAGTGTAGTCGTAAAGTGGTAGGAAAACCATTCTGAAGCATAAGAAAACGTGCACAGATTCTACTTCTGCGTTATACGCTACAGTTTCTACTGTTATTGTTGAAAATGAATCAAAACAGACTACCCGTGCGAGAACTCTCGCATGTTCTTACGTACCTCAAGAAATGCAATTCTCACCAAAAAATAATAAAAATAATATATTCACCTGTAAGTAATATATACCATTTGTTACCATATTTTTTAATCGTTAAATTTCATTTTTGATTCATGTTTTCGGAAAAATAATTTCCCGTCTTGAACTGTGTTGTATATAAACGTGTATTGATTTGCATTAGCTGAGTTTGAAATTTGAGGAATGAGCAATAAAAACAGACAAATACATTTTGAGTAAGAAAATATGCACGTTTAGTGGTTAGTAAATATGCATGGTGTAGAATTATCCGCGCACGTTTTATTTGGCCCACGTTTCGTTAATTGTGATGGGAGTGGGGAGTTAAAATGATGTTTGTCAAAATTACCTATGTCTTATTTGTAGTTCGGTTTTAGATGCAAAATAGTTTCATTACACGGAGCGAACAATTCTAGTTATCAGATTTTGTCTACAACGCTCTTTTCTATCATTTATTCTTCACTCAACCAACGTTGGCAAAGGAGTGGGGGAAGATATTCGGGGGCTCAAGAAAACGTGCGCGTTTTCTTCACTATTTCGTCCCAAGTATACTTCATACCAAGTGCATGAGTAATGTAAGTTATGTCATAAACTTGTCACAGAAACAAGAATGTCAAAATTGCAATTCGTTTGTTATGTGAGAATCCTGCCGATGAAGGCAGAGATACTATTTTTTCTAAGGGCATCGTGAAGCTGAAACAAGAACATGTGGTCAGTTTCCATCGTAGTTCCCTCCACAATTAGATAGAAATCGCTTGTAGACCATGGCAAAACGTTAAATGAATGTTTTCACTACACACAAGAAACGATATTCATCGGTGTAAAACAACTATTAATAGTACTTCCAATTGTTTCTGCGAGAGTGAATCTTTAATTGATAGTTATGGAAATAAATCTGGTCAGTGTGCGCAAACCACAGTAAACACAGAAAGCGTAAATATAATAAGCCACCATTACCAAGGGTTGAAATATATGTGACATTGGTAGTATTCGATAAGTATCGAACCAGCAAAAATTCAATAGAATGTCCTAGAATATTTCATTCTGTATATTACAATATGAGGAACGTTTCTTCGGCATCAAAATTTTATTTTTTAATTCCCTAGAATGCTTTTTTTTGAAGTTATTTAACGATTTAGCTGACCGAGTGCTGCGGATTGCACTTGACATAAATATTCACATGCATTTTTTAAACAAATCCTTTATATTTCTAAAGTATCAGTACAATTTGTCACGTCTCCATCAAATTATCTTTAGACACATTATTTATAAAGATTGTTAGCGTGTGAAAGCCTAAAAAGGTATGTGTACTACTGAAATAATACAGGAGACGATCAAAAACAAGGCTACAAAATGTCTTATTATCCCCTAAATTCAAGATCACGGAAAAAAATAATTTCAGTATTGTGTTTCATTTTAAAGTAACATTTGTGTCTTTTTACTCTAAAGTGCAAATTTTACTAAGGAATTCTGAAGTTAATACTGGTTTTGAATTTTAAATATAATAATGGTATTAACTTCCTTTTCGTTTATTTCTCTTTCCC